GCCATAGGCCTCCAACCCTAACATCTTTCCTATATCACAGTCCATGCTGGGGACTTGGATGGGAGGCTGTTTCTTCCCTTTGAAGGATCTTGCAGACTGAGGAGTTAGGTGGCCCAGGACTCGTGTCCGGCACAGCTTGAATTTTTCTCTATTATTTTCTTTCTCGTGGTCCCCACAGTCCATGTCCTCATTTCTGTCTGCCTGTCACTGTCCCCGTAGCCCTAATAGTAATTTCTCTTTTTAGAGTATTCATCTTTGCCTAAAAAGAATGAGATAGAACCAAAGTTCTGACCCCCACCATTCACAAATTGGGCTTTGCAGCCCTTCCATCTTAGCCTCGAATCCCAGCTCCTCAGGTTCTGCGCTGTGTGACCTTAAACAGCTTTATTGCTGAGAACCTCAGTCTCCTTACCTGGAAAATGGGCTCATACTGCCTACCTCACAGGGTTGTTGCAAGGAGTAGATGCAATCACAAAATCATGTGCGTGATTTGCAGAGAGAGCTTAATTGCTAATCGTTGCTACATTTGTTGTTGATAATTGTTACTGAAGAAGTTAACAAAGAATTCTGTTTTCAGTTATAGGTTGGTGTTGTGGAGGGAGCCCTACACTTGCCGTAGAGGCTGGCGTTCAAGCCTCGGTGTTGCCGTTTACTGTGTGTGCCTGGGGCGAATTTCCCCATCCCCCTGAAGTATAAGATGGTGATAGGTTTACCAACTCAGTTGAGTTTCATTTGGAAGAGATTAAGGCATGTGTGCAAGTGCCAGACACACAGACTATCCTCCTCCTTATTACTATTTTTTTCTTAGCAGATTAGAAAATGGAATGTTTTCCATTTTGCAGTTATTTTATTTGTTGAGGAGAAGGGGAACTGGATACAGTTTGGAGCCCAGGACACAGCAGAGTACTTGTGACCCAGGAACAAAGGGCACCGAGGGGAAGACAAGGGATCTGAGTTGCAGAAAATTCTGTGGCAGGGTTTTTAAAACTCTCAGGGTCAAGTTTCAGGGAAGCCGCCCAAGGGCTTGAACTTACTTCCCTGCTTTCAGGGTCCAGGTGTGGAAACAATCACAAAGAGATCACTGAAAACTATAGTAATGGGAAACATGGTGAACCTGAAATATTTAATTAGGATCTATTTCTTAGAAAAACATGAACTGGGAGGTGTGCGTGACCAGTGCTGGGAGGTATGGTGCCCTGGTCCGCGTGGGTTTGACTGTCCCTGACTGATGCCTTGGTTAATGTGGTTTAGAAATGGGTGGTTTGTCAGAGAGAGGCAGCCTGGCATTGGGGAAGGGTCAGGCTCCCGAGGTGCGCGGCTTGAGTTGGGAGGTAGCCAATCTTAGACAAAGGAGGCAGGGTCCTTGGCAGATAGGCATTTAATAGATGGAGGAGAATCAGGCAGTAGAGCACCCTGAGAATGGTTGGGGACTTTGGAGCCAGAGGGAATGGGATGGCTGTCAACTCTATTCCTTACTAGTTATATGACCTACAGGAGCAAGCTACTTTACCTGTCTGGGACTCAATTTTCCTCATCAGTAAAATGGGGATGATATTTTTCTGAATTATCTTCAGGAGTTGAGGTCAGGATTAAAAGTGGTATGGCAATAGAAGCAAGCTGTTGAACAGAGCATTGGAGACACAGTAAACATAGTACCTTTTATTATTCCCTAAGGATAGGTTTTAAAGGGATGCACAGAGTCACAAAGACTCGAGTTCCTGCTCTGTGCCAGGCACCGGGTTAGCACAGGGGCTAGCTGTGATCCCAGCAACAATGGAGTTAATAGTAAAGCTCCATTCCTCATATGAGGTAGGGGCTTTCCTGAAGGGTGGGCCCCTTTCCTGTTTAGTGAAGACATGGATCCAAAACTGGGGTAAGCCATGGGTCAGCTACAGAGTAGAAATCTGCCTCTAGATTTTCCTGGAAATAAATCGGATGTCTGGGTGGTGGGTGATAAGGTGTTGCACTCCCTGCCAAGGAAGATAGAGTCAGAAGTGAGGAACCCAGGCTTGAGCTGGGCCAGCCTCCTGGGGGAATCTGTCTCGTCACTGGGGCCAAGCAGGAGTTGGGGAGAAGCCTGGGTCATGATGGCTGGTCAGTTTGGGTAAGCCAGAATGTTTGTAGAGACTCTTCACTTCCTACTTAATTCCTTGTTTCTCTTAGAATAGTCTTGGAGAGTTCTAGCCAAGGGCAGAGGGTTGTTGGCATGCTAGGATCAGTGTTAGGAGCAGCACCTCTGGGCCTTCACGCTGGAGACAGTGAGATGCTAGAAGAGGGAGTTCCAAGTGAAGATGTAAGTGTGGGAGGCTGAGCACCTGCTTGGTCAGTCTTCCTCCTATTTGCACATAAAGAATGTTGAGGAAGCTCTGAGCCAGTGCACTGTCCTATTTGGTCCTTTAAGGTATCCTCAGCTCTTAGCAGGGTGCCTGGTGCCTGGCCCAATCTGCGTTTCTTTGAATGTCAGTCATGGATTCGTGAGGTGCATTGCTATTTCACATACCACTAAGAATAAGAAAGACAATGTTACCAATTAATTGTAAGATGCCATTGATTGTGGGATTCATTGATTTCAGAGAGGCAAAATGTGAAAAAAATGAGTGTCCTAGAATTAATAAAATGTGGTTGTAGGCATCCAATAAATATTTGTTAATTGGATGAATGAAGCGTACAGAGATTAGAATCAAAGCAAAACACTAGTACCCATAGTACAAAATTAGGAATTCAAACTATTAAAGCATGAACCTCTTCGTGCTTGTTTTCTATTGACCTCACCGACCTAGTTGTTCATTCAGTACACATTTATTGAAAATTGATTCTATCTCAGACACTGCTAGGAGCTAGGGATACAGAAATCACTAAGTTCCTTTGTTTTTCAGGTTCAGGCCAGTAAGGGAGTCAGACCTGGAACCCCCAAAAAATCACATTTCAGAATGGTTAGGATTTAAAAGGAAGTAGGGAGGCGCCTGGGTGGCT